TACCATCAGCCTACTGACACCCTACCATCAGCCTACTGACACCCTACCATCAACCTGCTGACACCCTACCATCAACCTGCTGACACCCTACCATCAGCCTGCTGACACCCTACCATCAGCCTACTGACACCTTACCATCAGCCTACTGACACCTTACCATCAGCCTACTGACACCTTACCATCAGCCTACTGACACCCTACCATCAGCCTACTGACACCCTACCATCAGCCTACTGACACCCTACCATCAACCTACTGACACCTTGCCATCAACCTACTGACACCTTACCATCACCCTACTGACACCCTACCATCAACCTACTGACACCCTACCATCAACCTATTGACACCTTGCCATCAACCTACTAACACCTTACCGTCAAAAACTTTCTCCCTCCAGGGGCAAGAAAGTTGAAAAAAAGATCTACCTGTTCACAGACCTAGGCTCCCCTTTTGGTAAAGATCAACTTGATTTAATCATCAATGGACTCAAAGAAATGGAAGCAGAGTTTATTCTAGTGTAAGTGCATTGACCAAACATAATGCTTGTTTGATTCTATAATTGTCCTGTTTCATTATAACGTCAGATGAAAACAATCTTTTGTTTTATTGCTAAGAATCATCATCATCAACAACAACAACAACACAAAAAATCCTATCACAGGGACTCTTTACTGAGTTCCTTTCAGTTAGAGACAAATGGTCAATGATTCCTATAACACAAAAAAAATTTGATTTTTTCTCCAAAACGTCAGTAAGTTTTTTCATCTTTTCACGGTGTCAAATTTACCCTTATATCATTTCTGTTTTATTAGAAACACCGACGCAGCTCACACTAGTTTTTACCTAGTTATCTCTTTTTTAAWTTTTTTTTGGAAAACTGTACTTTTTAGAAATTAGAAAAGTAATAACCATATACATTGTAGAATAAACACGGACTTATAAAACGTTTAAAAACCATACATAGCAAACCAATTAATTCAGCTGCAAAGTAAAATTAGTTAAAAATATTATTGTTCAGCAAGTTGTGATGTTATAGTGAAATGGGACAATAGTGCTAGCCATTGCAGCATGCTAGCTTGTGTTCAGCTGGTATGATTTCTTTTAAAATAATTTTTATTATTAACTGTTATTTCGAAAAAAAAATTATACTGGCTAAACGCAGGCTACAGCATGCTGGCAACTACCATATAAAGTAAAAAAGAAAGAATTTATTTTTTTATAAAGTATTTTTTTCTTTTTTAAGGGGACCTGATTTGTATGATGACGACGATGATAATAGTGATAATGCACGAGGAGAAGACACTAATGGAAATCAACCCTCTACATCTCGTGGAAACGGCACACACCCACCTAGAAAACCTAAGACACCACAACAGGTATAATGCAGTAAAGATGACTGGAAAAAATATATAAAATAAAATGAAATAAAGAGACTGAACTTTATATACCACTATCCATACATGGGTTCACGAATTGGACTGAAATTACTCTTACTGAAGACCTCAAGAACAATTAATACTACCTAATATTAAAGTTGATTGTATGACTTACTAATATTTCCTGTTGTCCTCTTGAAACAGCTTGCTGGTGAAGAATGCATAAAACATGTTTTGGAGGAAGTTGATGGGCAAACATACTCATTCAGGTTATTATATAAAGGTTCAAACGCTAGGGCGAGGTTTTGAATTCTTGAATTCTAATGTAAAACCGAGCCCGTGCGTTTGAACTGGTTTAAAATATCAACTACGCCCTAAATTCCATTGTTTCAATGCAAAACACGAAATACTAAATTATATTGAATTCAGGGAGGTAGATTATAGTTGCTTTGTTGCTTTTTCCCGGGTTTATGATTCAGCCCCGTTCTCCCCTGTTGATATCAATTCCGCCTCCGGCTTTAAGAATCTGGGTTTTTCAAAGAATTTAAGAACCTACATCAAACAATGGATTTAGGGTGTGGTTGATTTTTAATCTGATAGAAAGGATTGGTAGTTGGTTAGATAAATAGACCCTTTTTACCTTGGGGCGTATTGTTGTACCATTTTGAAGCAATATAGTTTCGTGAAGTAGTACAGTATAATTTCTTTGTTTGACGGTTGCGAACAAGAAGACACATTTAATATGGATACAACTCAAACAAAGATTAAATCTTATTCTCAAGAGAGTGACGCGTGATCTGAAAATGTGAAATGTGGATGGATGGAAGGAGGGAGAGAGGGAGAGAGGGAGAGAGGGAGGGAGAGAGGAAGGAAGGAAGGAATAGAGGGAGGGCTAGATGGATGGATAGATGAATGGATAAATAAATGTTTGGATAAATAGATGGAAAATGGGTGGAGTGATGTTCGTCCTTCATTGGAGCAAAAGAGAGGCGAAGGAGTAACGATGTACAGTACACGATTTTTAAGTTTCCTTCTCATTCACCTGTTGAACACAATGGACCCCCTAATTGTCTTGTATGCGAGGGTAACATGAAAATAAAAAAGAAATGCCACAAATTCCATGGGAAAAAGTGTGGTTTCTTTTGTATTTCCATGTTAGCTTTGCATCTACGATACTTTTGAGAGGGGTCCATTGTATACAACTACTAAAATCCATCATTTATTTTTCTGCAGTTGTGTGCTACCAATGCTAAGTTTCTTTGAGTGCCGAAGAATCAAACAGACCACGGTTTTCCGAGGTCCATTAGAGATTGGTACGACACTCAAGATCAACGTTTATGCTTACAATAGAGTGAGTCAATACGTTCTATTGTATTCTCAGTTTATATATATATATATATATATATATATATTTTTTTTTTACTATTCGATTTTGACCCGCAGTACTCGATTTTTTAACTATTCCATTCTGACCCGCAGTATTCGATTCGGACCCAAAGTATTTGTTTTTGACCCGAAGTATTCGATTGTTTCACTAGAGACCTTTAATTAAGGTTGAAAATCGAATGACCAGAAAAAAGGGAATATGTTTTTGATATTTTATTACCTGATTCTGAAATATTCTGTGCTTGTTGACTGACATTTCATGTTTTCCATAAACCTGATACTTTATAAAACTCTGTTTATTTATTATTATCATCATCACCATCATTAACATCATCATCATCATTATTATTATTATTTTACACATGTAACACAATTTATCAAACTCATTAATAATTCATGAGGAAAACACAAGAGAAATCACGACCGTGAAGAGTGTTGTAAATCTGATACAAAATTGTGTTCATTTGCATAAACTTTAAGTTGGATTTTCTTSGCCAGATTCACTTTAATTTTGAAAATTTTAGTAAAACACAAAGGAACTGACCTAGACGTTTGATAAGTAATATACAGTATGAGWTTCCGTGTTGTATCCGATATACAAACTCTAGGCTACACCTCGAGTTTGTATATCTAATACAACACRGCCACTCATACTGTATATATTACACATCAAATAAGTACTTTCAAATTATTTAACAGGTGAGGGAAGAAAAACTGGCTTCATGGAAGAAGTTGTCAGCAATTTCACAAGCCTCGGCAAACCCTGATAGTATGGAAGTTAAAATGGAAAGATCCTATCACTTGAATGATGAAGACCAGACTGAAGTTCAAAAAGATGATGTTGCACAAGGTAGCGATTGTGATCCCTTTGTCCTGCCCTGCCCTGTCCCGCCCCACCCCACCCCGCCCCGGGCTTATTTTGACTTGGAACACCAGCAAATTACTCAGGCATTTGTTATTGGGCCAAGAGAGCATGTCCCAGTATGTTTTTAGCTTTAAAAATTATTTTGACAGAAATCAGCCCAAAATGGTAATTGGGGGCAAATTCCAATTTTGGGACCAATCTTAATCTGCCCTAATTTTGACTTGGAACATTAGCAAACTATTTAAACTTTATTCAGTGGACAGAGAGTAGTTTGGTATTCATCTAAATCAAGTGGAGGGTGGGGGGGGGGGGGCATTTGTATAAAATATCAAACTTAATATCTTTGATATCAAGCTGTTTATTGGGAATGTTTTGTAGGCTATCGATATGGTAAAACCATTGTGCCTTTGACCAAAATTGACAAGGACAGCATGAAGTTAACAACTGAAAAGTGTCTGTCTGTCCTTGGATTCACCTCACTTGATAATGTAAGTTTATTTTTACTTTTTCGTTTACAGCGTACGTTAGTGTACATAGCGTACGTTACAGGAAATAATGTGGTGTGAATCTTCTTTTTAGATCAAGAGGTATCAGTTTATTGGTGAAAATGTTGTGGCATTCACAGCCCAGCCAGAAGATGTGGTGAGTATGGATGATTAATTAATACATAAGTATTGGAGTAATGAGTATTGAATGCTTGATGATGATGATGATGATAACGGTGATGGTGATTGAAGTGAGAATGATAATGATGATGGTGTTGGTGTTGGTGGTGGTGATGATGGTGTTGCTTTTGATGATGGTGATGAGGATGAGGATGATAATGATATTGATGATGATAATGATGGTGGTGATGATGGTGATGGTCATGATGCTGATGCCGATGATGAGGGTGTTGGTGCAATGATGATAATGCTGCTGCTGCTGATGATGATAATGATATTGATATTTTGGGTAGCATGGGTGGCGTTCACGGCTAACGCGTCGTCTTTCACTGCTGTGAGTCCAACGGGTCGGGTCTCTGGTTCGAGCCCTGCGGTCGCCACATTAGAATTGAGTTTGTTTGATGTGTTGTTCTCTCCTATGCTACGAGGGTTCTATGAGGCTACGAGGGTTCTCCGGTTTCCTCCCTCCGTAAAAATCAACATGTGAGTTGAGCGTTGAATATTTTAATATTTTCTTCCCAGCATGCAGGCGTAGCTTTATCAGCATTCATTAATGGCATGTATGAATCAGATACTGTTGCCATCGTAAGGTATTGTTTCAGGAAGAATGCAGCACCAAAGCTTGGCTTCCTGTCACCACACATCAAGAAAGATTATGAGGTACTTCAGCATCTATGTGTAGTCTGGTTACTAGTGTAGGAGACACTGAAAACATCGGTGACAGACAGACAGATGCCGAGACCCAATAGACAGACAAATAGATGGACATGCAGCTGTACAGACGTATTGATAAACAGATAGCATACAGGTAGACAGGCAGTTGGGTATGCAAATGAAAAGCAGATAGACAAGCAGACAGATGGACAGAAACGCTATATATATATGGACAGATGGACAGACATACGATAGAAAGACAGATAGTTGTTCATGTAATTGGACAGAAATATTAATATACAGCTAGCATGCAAATGGTAGTTTGTAGACAATATACTCATAGAACAATTTTTCCTTTGTTCGTGTTTCAGTGCTTGTTATTCACTGCATTGCCATTCATGGAAGACATAAGACAGTTTGGTTTTGGATCTTTGGATGCGAACAAGAAACTGGTGCCTTCAGGTGAATATTGGGATTTTTTTTAAAAAAAGAAAACGAAAATTAGGGATTAATAAGTGAAAAAAATCAAGGAAGGAGGGAAAAAATCCAGACATATAAGTAAAAAGAAGAATAAAGGGAATGGAAAGAAAAATGGGAAACAAAAGAAAGAAAGAAAAAATAGAATTATGAATCGTAACGAGGGTGCTTGTACGTTTATGTTTCTTAGACGAACAGCTACAGGCAATTGATAATCTAGTAACAGCAATGGATTTGACCAAAGCAATCAGGTATTTGATCCGGCCTTTGATATTATTAAGAGGAAATCTTTCCCAGTAATGAGAAATAATGGCAAAAAGCGGCAAAAACTAGACTTTCGTATGGGTTTTAATTCCAATTTTCGTTTTGGGTTAACACTCAAAACCTTTGTTTGAATACGAAAAGAATTCTCTCTTAATATATAAGATCTGTAGCAATAATCGATAACTAGGTGGAATTGGGGAAATGTCAAAAAAAAAAAAAAAAAAAAAAATCACCCAAGGCCAGCCAAATGAATCCTTTTCTTGATAGAATCATAGTCAATATTAACCATGAACTATGCTTAAATGTGCTAATTAAACACACTACACATCACGATGGTGCAATTAGATCATGGTTTCATTCACGTATCCTTTATTTTTCGTGTTATCAAAGAGTCGCTACCCATTCTATTTTTGTCTGGACAAATTACATGGATTAAGCTTGGGCTCCCTGTGTCTGCTCAGTACCTTGATATAACTGTCATTCTCTACTTATCTTTACTTGTTGGCTTTAGTAATAAGAATGGGAACTATAAAGAGGCATTGAAGCCCTTGCTTGGGTTCTCTGTGTCTGCTTAGTGCCTTGACGATCGTCATTCTTTATTTGTCGTATTATTTTGGTTTCAGACATGAGAATGGTGACTACGAAGAGGCATTGAAGCCTAAGTGTACGTTTAACCCAACAAGACAACGAGTATTTCAGGTATAGAACCCTTTCAAAATGACTGTGATCTTGACGGTGGGCGTATCCAGGTATTATATGCTCTTTTCGACTAGGGGTAATGATTGGGCCGACTTTACACGGTACGATTTTTCTTCACAACTGTCGCCCGCAACAATCTTACGCCAAGTTTTATCTGCCATTTACAGTCGTAAGCAAGTTGTACGGTGGATTTACACGGAGCAATTCGTGTCGTCAGCCTGTTGCGCGGGACAGTTGTGAGGAAAAATCGTACCGATTTAATCGAACTATATGTAAACAAAAAAATCGTATGTTTTCATTGCAGTGCATCCAGCATCGTGCGCTTAACCCTGACGATCACGATTTACCAGAACTGGAACCTGTTATCGCAAGGTAATAATAATAGATTATTATTGATAGTAGAGTATGTATATATTAGACTGCAGCTTATCTTCAGGTCCTGTCTTGGTGCCGTGTAGTGAGTAGTTCGTATTGCTTACTATCAATCACGTGACTTTTTAAAGTTGGGGGGCAAAAAAGCGGTTGACTGAGGGGCAACTAGCGGATGTTAAGTCAAAACATGTTAAGATAAGTCCTCACGCTGTTTCCTGTTTCCCAAGCTTTCCTTTGATCGTCATTACAAACCTCCTCTGTTCGTCATCCCCTGGGAAATGTTGTTCCTTATGCCCATGCTAGACCGCAATGCACCTTATCTTCATTTAACCAAGAAAAGGCGCTGAGTGACCTGATCACCTCAGTTAACTCTCAATCCACTTTGGTTTTCAGCTATATTGAGCCTAGTCCTGAGTTCAAAGCTAAGTGTTCAACACAGTGTCTCAAGGTCAAGGTCAGTTAAATTGTCATCACTTTGGAAAATAGGTTTTGTCTAATAGACCTCTTTATCTTGGGTGCAACGTTTGCCCATTTCAGACCACGTGTCATTTCCTAGAGTATCATTTCTTTGTTAAATGGCTTTGCACGAAAAGACCCATGGATATGGATACAACTCAAACATAGAATCTTATTCTCAAGGGAATAACACGTGTTCTGAAATTGGAAAACATGACACCCAAGTTAAAAAGGTTTATAAACCTATATTTACATTAGGTTTTCATTCACTAATAAATGATTGCAAACTACTCGTTAGATAAGCCTTATTTTGTTGATACAGGATTTGTTCCGGTTGGAAAAGATAGAGAAAAAGAAGACGCAACAAGCTGCAGAGAACATCTTTAAAGCCAGGTCGATTATCGAGATTCGCGCTTTGATTAATAACCCAATTGTTAAGGACTGCTTGTTTTTACGTAAATATGACGGTAGTTATTGAGATGGTGATGCCTAGTTGTGCGGGAAGTTAAGGCTTTACTACTCAGTGACTTAGAAAATGAGGAAAAGATGCTCCCTCACATCTACAATCATCATCATCACTACCACCATCATTACCACCAMCAACATCATCATCACCACCAACATCATCATCATTATCATCACCACCACCACCACCAGCATCACCACCACCATCATCATCACCACCACCACCATCATCATCAACATCGTCATCGCCACCACCATCATAATCATCAACATCGTCATCATCGTCATCGCCATTATCATCTTAATCATTATCATCATGCATCATCATAATCATTTTTACCATCATCATCATCATCACTACCACCATCATCATCATCACCAC